ATATAAATTAAACTGAAAGTGAGTAATAAATTAAAAGTAGCAGGGTTACCTCAGTATGATACATATAATAAAAACAGTAATAAATTACTTACAGAATTGCTGCGAATATTGTAGAAAAATAACTGAACATGACAAATAATCTTTTGCATAGTGCACCCCCCTCACACACACACACACTTTCTTTTTGCTTATCTATTAAAAAATGTCCCACGTTTTTTCAGTTGGATTTTTGTTAGCACCATATGTTTTAACTAACATACTAAGACTAAGAATAATTGTTGATTTTTTCCCCCCCATTCAAGTTCAAGGACAGTCAAGTTCAAGTTTGAGAACTTGGTGTTTTAGCTGTGGCATGCAGTTTTGGTGTCTGCTTTGCTTCTGCATTATATTAAGTACATATTTCCATTTACATAAAATAAAAATTAAAAATTAAAAGAAGCCATTTGAGCCACTTTGCTGTTGGTAATTACATGAAAAAATGCTTCTAACCAACTATTTGACTAAACCTCACATCATACACCAAGAAAGCATCAACAAAAAAAAGTACAATTATTATGAACTACTATTAACTACACAAATACATTTACGCGCACGTTTGACGGTAAATTTGTATTAGTGTGTATGTGTGACTGTGTCTGTGTGTGTCCCATTGCTAGCTCTGCTGTGTAGATGCAATAAACTGTTAGTTTGCTTCAGTGCACCCACTGTGGGTTGTACCAGGCTGTTGTGTTGTTGTAGGTACGCTTTTACACACAGAGAGAAAATGCTGAAAACCCTGCCATCTGCCTCTCGACATGCAACCTTCCACTGCACTCCTGCCATTCAGTGCCAAAAAGGCCTTGGGGTGGAGTAGCGAGATACTCCTCCAGCCAAAACCATGTGTCCACAGCTAGTACAGCAAAGCTTACATTCATATGAATGAGCATAATAAGCTACATATGCAACAGTAAGCCTCACTCTTGAAAGCTTTGAGTAATCATTTTGACTTTGTCCTTCAAAAAAAGTCATCTTCTATGTAAAACCCGACACCCAACATAACACAGCACATCTGAAATCCAAAGCAGAATATTCGACAAATACGCAAACTTTTGTTGATTAAACTAGAAAATTTCCGCAATTTTCAAAAAACGCAATCAGAAAACAGCTTTACTGCAAATTTGATTATACTTTCAAGCGACACCTCGAAGAAGATTTTTCTCATTAGACTTGGGAATATACTTTGCTATTTTAATGTCTTAAAAACATTCAAGCAGTACAGATTTCCCATGATCTTGATCATTAAATTCACAATATCCACAGTCATTTTTTATAAATTCTCTTGTTGGTGAAACTGCTGCGTTTGTTGCTCATTCAGGTTTGTTCTTCCAGCAAATCAAGAGAAATGCGATTAGTATCAACATAATAACAAAAGCATCTGTAGTTGTATGTAAAGCGCTTCTATCAAAAGCACAAGTCTTGTAAAATCTGTATTCAGACATGTAAGGTATAGATCCAAAAGTGGGGAAAAAATATGAAGGAATCCTCCGATTAACAAAAATTATGTATACAAAAGCAAATGGTGAAGAAATGGTGAGTTATTCTCTATTCCGTTTTCTTGAATAAAATATAAGCTTACCAAGTACAAACTGTAAAAGCACGAACTCAAAGAAATTTGCCATTTAAAAATAAATAGTTGTAAAAATTAAGACGTCCTCCAAAAGCTTCTGAAAACATTAAACTGATCGAAATGATCAGCGCACCACGTGCTTCTCTTCATACAGTGCATTCTAAGCTCGGACAGCATCACTCATATGAAATACCTCCACAACTGTGGCCTTGCACTTACTCACTGATTGCATTAAAGTAGGATTATCCGGTCAACAGAGTGCTTTTCTGCCTTTTTTGTGCGTATCGCTAAACTATGAATGAGTTTGTAGAAATTTTTAGTGGGGAAATGTTCTTGAAATCATGAGAATAGCTGTTAACGCTCTGATATCTGCTGTTCTAAGTGCAGGGCTTTAAATTCAGATGCATAAATGCTCGCTCAGGTGAAAAGAAACTTTGTGCAAAGACCTCAAATTCATCGAGATGTTTATTTGTACAGGATTCCTGCGAAAACTGAACGTCCAAAATGCAAACACATTGATAAAGTACATCGGAAACCATGCATCCATAGGCATATTTTAAATGAAAATTACTCACCAGTTACCAGAGCAAAGACGCTAAATGTCCGGTGAGGTTCGGAAGCTCTTCCCGCTTTGATCCACATCTCTGTCAAGAAGAGGAGAAAGCCATAAGCTCCAGTTTGGTGCTTCTTGCATAACCCCGTGATTTCCCTCAGAATGTCCCGTTCACAGCCGTGCCTCAGCCTCAGCTCCAGCCTCAGTCAGTCTCACCTCCAGGCACAAATCCCTCCTTCAACCACAGTCTCAACCCAAAGCTCAGGGCTGCATGGCTTGCCTGCCACCAGCTGGGTCCAGGCCCGGTGAGGCCTGAAACAATAGGAGGCCATGAGGCTGTCTGCGAGACTCCAGCTAAGCCTGGCTGCTAGTTAACAAGTCTTTGAATGAGGAATGTTAGCAAACAGACAAACAGCATGTCTGATGCATGCAAATAGCACAACCAGTCCAGTCTCAGCCTTGGCTGAGCACATGAATAATTCACAAGTCTATATGCTTCTCTCTCACATTACTCCCTCCCTCTTCTCAAGTGAAATGCCTTCACTGGAATAAGTGAAGCAAAGTATTCAAACCTCTGTTTTACTTTAATACTTGATAACGTAACGCAACAATAATGCAAACCGGTCATGCGGCGACGTAACGTGCACAGCTACTGGTGACATCTCAACAACTTGCAATTCGACAATTTGCTTCCCCCCTTTTTTTTTTTCGCTTATTGCCTGTTAATTTCTTTTGTTTGCAATTGGCACCTGTCCCAGTAAGAGCTCCGGCTCAGCGCACCACTCATTTGCCCTCGAGAGCGAGTCGGCGTGAAAGAGAGAGAACAAGAGTGAGAAAGAGACACAAGGAGACAGCGAAGGAGAGAGGACATGGAGAGGAAACAGGAGGAGAAGCAGAGTAAATACAAACAAGGTGCGGTACTTCACGCCAGTCGCTGGCGCGGATTACGAAACATCTCCTTTAAAACGCACACGTATACCCTACTGAGACACTGGTCACTCTGTGACTGCCATCCATGGACATCCCGGCCACAAGCCCACCACCACAAAAAGGTTACCCGTCAAAAATGGCGCCCCTGGCATTCCAGGTGGATCAAGGCCCATCAGATGGAGAAACACCACCTTGGAAAATTTTGATCCAAAATGAGAGAAACCAAATAAACATGGCTAAAAACCAGCAAGGGGAAAAAAAACCCTAATAAAACTAAACAAACAAACAAAAAAAGAAGAGGAAAATGAGGTACAGTTTTAGAAAATAAGCAACAGAAAAGCAGATAAGTGATCAAAAATCCAGAGCGGTGCAAAAATCAATGTGCCAAAAGTAAGAAAAGGGCCCCTAAAAAAAGCCACTTGTTGCCAGGTTTTGCAGAGCTGCTGTGCAGCTAGTTGGAGGCAGAGGGTTAAAATCCAGCTAGTAGTGAGTAAAAAAAAAAAAAAAGATCCATCTATGGCAGGGCGGGCTGCGGGGAGGCCCTGACTGTAGAAATAGCAGCAGACTTTTTGTCTTTTTTTTTTTTCTCCCCTCGCAGAGCTCAAGTCTCCCCCTTGCGTGTGGCTCTAGCAGAAAGAGAGGAGCGACCGATTCAGAGAGAGAAGACGAGGAGAGGGGGAGAGAGAGAGAGGGAGAGAGAGAATCCGAGAGGAGGAGACAGACATGCATACAGTGAAGGGGTAGAAAAGCTCGGCTGATGATGAAATAGGAGGTGTAGCAGAGCGCGCGAACCAGTCACTTTTTCATCACATGTCCAACACGGCAAGGAACTGTATTTGCACTGGGGCCTGGGGAGGGAGGGAGGGAGCATAAGATGGGTGGGAGATGGAGACACAGAAGGGAAGAGAGCGAGGCAGAGTGGGAGGGTGGAAAGCACTAAATGTGGGAGGGGTGGAGGAAGAAGAATGACACAGAAATCCACTCCTCCCAGGCAGCGCGCAGGCTCAGTGCCTGCACTCACACGCCATACTGGGATCCACTATAACGTACGTCAGCAACTATATCAGCAAGTGCAAAGAAAAGCAAGGAAAACGGGAGAATACAGAGTCATTCAGCATAAGCTGCCCCCGCTGAAGGATCCTTGAAATATGCAACACTTCTGAGATCTCCTTGAATTATTAACCTCATCTCTTACCGTGGTGGAGCTTTACAGATCTGGAAGTACACACTGAAAGGAACACACGTACACACACACTCAGAGCGCATTAACTCTTTGGCATGCCTGAGCAGCCTGAATGGATAGAATAGACCATGACACACACACACACACACACACACACACAAGGACGCGAGCACACAAAGTGAAAAAGAAAAGCACGGAGAGTGTTAATTTCAGTAACATGTGGCAAAGAACGCATGGCCAGGACGCCTCCTTCTTGCCCCGGCTCTGTCACAAAGCAAAGGCTGTAGCCGAACCTTCGCAGCTATTTTGGCACAAAGTCAAAAAAGGCTGATAAGCATTTTTGGGTGAGACTCTGCTGCTTTTTCCTCGAGGAAAAACAGCTGCTACATGCCCCGGTATTCAATGTTCAACAGTTCGGAGAACATTTTAGCGAAACCCCCCCAGAGATGCCGATTTGTCTTGTTTAAAATGGAGAACGAAAAAAAAAAAGATAACATAATGGTCCACGCGTTTAGTTTGAACCAATTTCTTGCACAGATTTACATGAAGCATAAGTGAGCCTCAGAGGGAACTAGGAGAGGAGAGGAGAAAGGGGGGGGGGTCCCTACTAAACAGCAGGGCTGTTTCCACCATCTTAGATTGCATTGATTATGCTTTGCTTCTCACACGCTAGAGCTCTTTCTCTCCCTGCCTGTCCCTCCCTCCCTCTTTCTGTCTGTTCTGCCACCTTCTCCACTCCGCGATCAGCATTTGGCTTTTTCCATTTGAGGCAGATTACTGTAACGCTATTGTACAACAACTTCCTGCCTCTTTTGGCTCTGGTTCTAAAAAACTGCAAAAGGCAGACCTCGTGGCTTTAACTTTTTTCCCCCCTCGGCCTTGAACCAGGAGCTCTATAAGGGAAGAAAAGGAGGAAGGAGATATGTAAAGTGTATTTATTACTGAGGAGCTTTTTTTTTTTTCTCTTTTTTAAAAATAAATTTCATTTCTGCTTTATAAACTGCTGAGAATTAAAGAGGGGACTTCATTCCTAGCAAGAGACAATGAGAAAGAGAGAAAGAGGGAGACAGAGAGGAAAAACATAAGGTGGGGGTTAAACTTTTTCTTACGTTTTACTCTGTGAAAACTTCCTGTCGGCTTTGGAGAGCACAAATACATAAGCGGGGCTCGAGCTCACGGAGACTTGTTTAACATGGCTGCTACTGCTTCAGGCTGCACAGCTTGTGAGGGCTGCTTTCACTGCACGGCCACCACCCCGTTCCTCGCCGGCTCTCTCTTCCTCACAGCAGCACAGGCTGGATTGCACAAAAAAAACTCTTCTCCTCTCTCCGCGCACTCCTCTTTGCTAGACGGGTTTTTAGTAGAAACACATACGGCCAAAGACAATTAGAGAGAGAGGAGAAAAATGCCAATATTATTTAAACTAACAAAGTGCAGGAAAAGGCCGCTTTGCACTGCAAGGTATTTGTTCGCTTTCTTTCTTTTTTCTTCCTTTCCCTAAATGAGATACTAGCTCAGTTCAGTCATGCACTTTGGCAGGAGCTATAGAATCCTATTAGAAGGAGTTCAAGTTATACGTCACATCTCGCCATGCGTTTTAACCAATTGAGAAACTCATGACTTCATTATGGCTTCAATGTATAAAGATGTCTTGGGTATATGTTAAGATTTTTGGGGAATAGCTTGTAAAAAAAAAATAAATAAAAAAAGCATATGTTAGAACTCCAAGGAGTATTAGTCATTAGTTTTAGGGAAGCATGCTCTGTGAATTTATGCTTAGTGTGCATACTGTACTTTGCATGACATAAAGTTCATCTGAGGATACAGTTTTGGCTTTGGGACTGCTGCCAGCTCTTGCCGCTGTGTTGCGTGTCTACATTGCCGCTACATTGTGCCTCTGTTGCGTGTCGTAATTACCTGTCACATCTTAATTGTGGAGTCATGACTAGTCGGACTTTAGAAGCAAATGCAGACTATTTAAGGCCGACTGTATAAAATCGGTTTCCGTTTAAAAAAAACAAAACGCACAAAGCAGTTCTTACTACTGGCAACATCTTGCTTTTTTTTTTTTCAGATTAAATGATCAAAAACGACTAACATTAGATGAAGCACTAACAATAACACACGATGCAGCCGCACTGACATCCGGGAGGGAGAAAAGGCAGGGAAAAGCCACAGCTTTCCTTCTGGAGTACTAGGCTGCTGCAGCTGTGTGATACAAAGTCAGTCGATCAGGCCAATTGATATTGCAATGAGAAACAAAATGGCAGACGGCGCCATGTTATAGCCTCTGCCTGACAATTATTTTACTCCTAATAATTTTAACGTATGATTATGCTTCTCTGTTTCATCGAGGTTTGATGCAATGAATCGAGTTGGGAACACAATTTTACGACAGAGAAAAAAACTGTTTTGAAGCGGTTAAAATATAAAAATAGCATAGCAATAGAAATGCAGCGCATACGTCTAACGCCGTTATAAATAAGACACATTTTTTTGTGGCTTAAACAAACTGTCTGCTGACGGGCACTGATTGCATTCAGAAGACGGCACATTAAAGTGTTTTAAAAGACGTCTGCAGGCATTTGTTAGGGTAAACATTGCATTATAGAATTTAAATGGTGGACTGGATGAACGTTCGTCCTACTGCTACATGAAACAATAAAACAATGAGCACAGCAAGAGCGATATGGAATTTCACTGGGCAGGGAATCCACAAAGACAAACAATATTTGCTCTTAGAAACATCGAGGAGGCATTAGCAGGTGGGAGTAGGGGTTTGTGTGTGTGTGTGTGTGTGTGTGTGTGTGTGTTGGGGGGTGGGGGTAAGGGATGGCTGTGTGCTTGGTCAGCAACCATTACAACGTCGACACTTAGATATGATATGCGGCACATAAAAACAAGGTTATTCTAATGGACTTATTGAAGGGGATAAAAGCTAACCACAAAGTATCCCTTCTGTATGAGGGGAGAGTATACTCTCCAGCAGAAGAGTCCATAAGGTGGTCGAGCTTAAACCCTGCACGTGTCTAAACAACTTCTCTATTACACCCAGGACCTTTGAGGGCACTCCCCATCGAGGAGGGAACAAAGGCCATGACCCCTGGGTCAAAAGCGTTACATGGGAGGCCAAGCGAGCTCATTGAATGCTCCACTGTTGTTTGCTTTAAGAAGGTAAAGATTACTAACACATTAACTAATGCTGATTAGGGGGTTATCCCTCATGGGACCGAGGTCCCGGGGGCAGCACATCACGTCGTATTAACACAGCCTGACCTTTGACCCCCACCAGTCACCTTAGGCAGCCGACTGTGACCGCCACTTTCTCCGTCTGTTTGACATTTATACGCATGCATGCACAGACAGGGAATGCAGGCTAACCTTGCAAGGTGCAGCACAGCTCAAACAGAATTATTTCTATGTGGAAAAATCTGAAGAAACGACTGAATGCTCACTGCACAGGATTTGCAATGTTAACACACCCCGGTCCAAAGAGTTTTTAACTTTACTTTAGCAGGCTGTGCTTCATCCGTGTACCCGTATTTCCAATAAGTACTCCTTCCTAAGTAAACATTGTCAATTCAAGTATGTTTTCAAGGCCTCTGACCTAAAAGACTGTTTTATGTTGAAGTTCATAAAATGGTTGCATGTGCAATGAAATGGTGGACAGAAGACATGCGCAGTAATGATGTTTCTAATACAAGAAAAAAAGAATCGTAATATTGGTGATTGCAACCAATAAGAAAAAAGCAGCTTGTTCAGGATCTGTTTCTGTGACTCCCTTCAACGTATACTTTGATATTAGTACAGAGGTGAAAGCATGCTGCACAGCTGAGCTTACCTAACACTGCATTTCCTGCAAAAGCGAGCCGATAATAAGTTATAATGAAACATAATTCAGCTATATCATTTTGGAAATGTCTGCTAACAATCAGCTCCTTTGGAGAATTTTATGGAATAAAGCACCTTGGGAATATCATTTTATCCGGATTAGGGATATTTTTCCAGCAATGAGTTCCCAAAAAATATCAAGTTCAAGTTTTTCCACAAGTTATCTTCATATGCAAAACTCTTGACTGAGCACTTATTTGAAAACACATTATCCATCAATATTTGAAATGCACTGTGGCATATATAAAAGCATGTGTGCAAAATATTATAGAATATAAACAGAATGGACTTTTGTTTCCTTAAAATGCCGCCCGCTTATTACAGAAACCCAAAAAGACATAAATAAATAAATGATTAATTAATAGTTAAACTTAATAATTTTATCATAAATGTTGACTATTTTATATATTAGCTTCGTTAAAGGAACACACTGCCTAAAAACCAAAAAATGCCAGGGATACTAATTTAATTTTAGGAAATGTTTAATAATGCCTGAACTTTATGAATTTGGTGTAAATTATTGTCACGATTTATTCAGGGGAAAAAACAAACTTTTCCAGAAATGCATTTTTTGTTCACTGAGTAAAAATCCACATTAAAATGTTAATATGAACTGTGCAAAAATATGCTTTACAAAAGGCAGCTCATCCAGCCTTTTGTTATACAAATAATAAAGAACTGATATTCAGTCACGGCGCACACAAGTTGATTTATTTAACATGAACCTGTCACTAAATTCAAAAGTAAGAGAAAAACTGTTAGAAATCTGTTTTGGGTTTAAATAATACACTTCATTGTGTGTGTATAAATCATTTTTTACACTAGTATTAGATTGTTAAACATGGTGCACTTAAACACTTCATTCCTAATAAATAGTTTTATATGAATAAAAATATTAATTTAATTTTAATGTATTTGATTTCTGTTTAATCAGCTTTACCTGATATGTTGTGCTGATATGAAAGCACAAAAACAGAGCAGTGATTCGCCCCCCTCCCTTCATCTGCCACATAGCTCAGCAGGCATTTGATCCGGTGCTTTCATGAGAACAATTCAAAAGCACCGCAATAAATATTGAATTTCAAAATATTTCTGAGACATATTGCGAAGAAACAGAATTTCTAGATATGCCACATGCACAAAGAAACGATTCGTCTTAGCAAAAAAAAAGAGAAAAAAAAAGAAGAAGAAGAAAAAACAGGAATAAAGACTTTTTCAAGAGCAGGAATGAACTCACCTTGCTGTTTCTCACAGGATTCTGAAAGGAGAGGAGGAAGAGAGAAACAGAGAGAAAAGAGCAAAGGAGAGCTTCTCCTGGGAACAAGCTGGAAATTATGGACCTATTCGATATCAGACCTCAGAGTGGACAACCTATCCTAAGAGGGACGCGCCCTAACTGTAACTAACAACTACTTCTGGCAGCCCTTCAACAACCAGACATATTGTCCTGGATCAGGGCCGTTTTCGAAAAGGCAGCAATGAGCAAGGGCAGCCTAGGCAAGAAATCAACATCGACCTTCAGCCTCATTAATATCAATTAATACTTTTTTTCTCTAATAAAAATACAGAATTTTAAACTATGATCCCAATGAGACATTAATTATCAAATGTAGCATGTTAAGGTGATACATGCTATAAAAAAGAAGGATTTCCACACTAAAGTGGGGCAGCATTAAGGGGTCAACACAGCACTTTAAAAAAAATTTTTTTTTAAAAATATATAATGCGTGAGTTAATTATTTCACCTACTGTTTTAGTACTGATATATTAAAAGCTCAAAATCCAACACAAATGCAATGTTGCATTACTTTGTACTGTGTAGGTCTGAAGATCTGCATTTAAAGTGTGAATGCAACAAAACTGCCTTATGGTGGAAACGAGCACAAGCAGGGTTTGAATGAGTGTAACAATGTAATAAATATTCAATTAAAAAATATTTTTGACTGAGTATAATACCTGTGTCATTTTTGTCATTATAGCACAGATCACAATGTAGTAACCAATCATTTTTAGACATGCACCAAATGTTTATTATCTAGTTAAGCAGCAATGTAAAAATACTGATCTGTAGCACTAAATAATGTACTGAGACAAATTTCAATAATCAGTGACACATAAAGTAAATTCTCCTTTTCTGTCCACTTAACTATCAGGTCTCTGCATACTTCTACTCTTCCTTCCAGTTTTCTCATGCAGGTTATTAATTCCTATTTAAAACAACAACAACAAAAAAACCTTGGCCATTTTGTTTTGTTCTCCCTAATCACTATGCCAAGAGTGCACAGCCCTGGCATTTCAGGGGCCACGTCACAACGGCTGTTTCTGTGCCGCAGGGCTGCAAGGAGTCCAACACAGCAGAGTCATATGCACTCAGCGGTTCGCTGCCTCAACAAACACTTTGTGCGCACTGTTTTGTTGTCTTACACAGTCTGTCTAGCATCCTTGCTCCACTGAGAACAGCAAAACATGTAACTAATAACATTTAACAACACGTGTGCTTTTCTTTTTCCTGGTTCCTTTTTCAACACGACATCACACACCTTTCAGCTTCCGAATCACTTTGCAGCACTTTCCTCCTTATGATTACTACAGTAAAGTAAGCTTAGTGACAAAAACAGAGTTACTCGAGCACAAAAAGTAAATATTTGAAATATTCTAGATATTTACCACTTTGATATCTGTTGTTTGGCAACCTTGAAAAAGGGGAAACAGCTGATATTGATGTCATGGATTAAAAAAAGAAGGACAAAAAAAAATCACTGATTAGAGAAATCACACTTGGGTTACTGATGAGTAAAACTGCACTGAATGGCTTTTATCTATGTGGGAGAAAAGCAGTGATTTATAGGACAGTTGCATAAACAGATGTTATACTCTGTGGGCTATTTATGCAAATTCAGTGATTGGTGCAAAATATTATTAATATTTATTTTTTACATAGAGCAAAGTAATATGTGTTTGAGACATAAATCACTGTTCCGGCAAACCAGACCACATGCCAGCAATAAAAGTAAATGTCCACTTACTACTGTGAAAAGTCATTTCAGTCTGCTCATTTGATTGCATGTACACATGTGTGTAAAACGTTTGTCTTCATAACTTTCCCTTAAATAGATTTTTCATGTAATCCTGTGTGCTGACAACTAGTTGGTTTATTAGTTTCATGCAGAGGCTTGTATCAAAAGCACAGAGAGCATTTAAAGTATACACTACATTTATTTTGTCTATTTTGACTACAAGTGTCACGCATTGTGTGTTTTTTCAATTTCATGTCAAGCGTGTGATAAAAACAATGTTTATTTTTATTACTCTCGTTATCATCATTATAATCATTATGCCTCGTTATATAATACTTTTGTGGGAACAAGCAACTCTGTTCCTTGTGATTATGACCGCAGACACTTAGGAGGGTAAACACTTGCGCAAAATTATTTCAATGCTAGTCTGTGATTCAGGGACCCTCTGTGTAAAATCTGTGCTCTCTTTATGGTAAACTGTGCTGACACTGATGGGGTGTAACATGTTCTGGTCCACCCATCAGCATAATCATCATCAAGCTAAAGGTGTTGACAGCACGTATTCGATGGTGTGACAGCCTCTGACCTCTCACACCAACTTAGTAAGGCAGAGGGTCATGTGGAGGACATGGCTATGGAGGGAGAAGTCAATCTTATCCTTCCGTTCCGCCACAGGCCTGTGTGCAGCGACAGCAAGATGAGCTCGAGGGCTTTCCAAAATCCACACACGTTTGGCCGGGAGTAAGGCATCGGGGCCGTGTGTGTTTCAAAGGAAACGCTGAGGAAAGCGCTTTTTTGTGGCAGCACTCGTGCACTTGACACTGTGTATTTGCCTGCCTCTATGTCTTTGCTCCGTCCCCACCCTGACTCAATATCCCTCAGCACCAATATGTGTCATCTTTAGTAGCCAAAATGGCGTACAGCCCACTTGTCTCCCAAAGGTAGAGAACACTACCTTGTATCTCTTGATTTGGATCTCACGTGTGCAGACAATTTTTTGCCATTATCGCTACACATTACAAATACCTCGGGCTCTCCAGAGCAGCGTGGGACTGAGAGGTTAAAAGGCAGGAGGCACGGAGATGAGAGGCACTGAAAAGCCTCAGCTCTCGGACTGTCGTCAATTGAGCCTGTGCTTCTCTAATGGGGGGGGGGGGGGGGGGGGGGGGGGGGGGGGGGGTTGATAACCTGGCACACAACCAACCACTAATGCCACTTAAATGTCAGAGACTGCAGAAAGGAAGGGAGACAGCAAAACTGGGAGCACATTCATATTTCAGCATGGCAGATGCTATAATACGTTCATGCCTCACAATGAGGACAAACAAAGACCCCAGAAGTTTGAAAAAAAAAAAAAACCAAATAAACAAAACAGAGAAGGCAGGCATGATAAAAGGGAAATGAAAAAGAGGAAAAGGGATTTTGTAGAAGTGATGGAGGCAGCTCCATCTAATGGTTGTCTCTATTCGACAAAGTTTGGAGTAGATCTGTCTCACTCTTTCTCTCTCTCTCTCCGCAGATGAAAACCTGACTGGGTGGGGGTCGGGGACAGGGTTGAGTCTGGTGTTGGGGGTGGGGTTGGATTGCTGGAGAGAGTGATCTTTTTTTCCAGCGGGGTGAAAGGCGGACGGTCATGTGTGCAGAGCTCATGACAAAAGGCCCTTTTATGTGCAGCGTATGCAGATAGAGGAGGCTCCTTTGTGCACAGATGGAGATCCCATGCCTGGGTCTGCCTGCGGCAGAGAGGGAAGGGAGGGCGGAGAGGAGAGAGGAGTGGTGGTGAAGGGAAGAGAGGGGAGGGAGGGGTGTCTCTGGCACTGAGTGCCATCACTATGTCTGGTGGGGGATGGGGCACAGAAAAGAAGGACCGAGCGGTCCCGGTCCTGCCAGGTTCATACACAGCGAGGAGGGGCCACGAGCCTCGCTAAGAGGATACAGAGACTTGTAACTCAATAGTGGAATCGAAGAGAGTCCATCAAGTGAGTAACAAGTGGCCCAGGGTCAAGTATTACATACAAATAATCTCTGATTTTTGCTTCTATTTGCTGGCTATGGAAAACACGGTTTGTCACATATAGTGCCAGAGAGCTAATACAAGTACAGTACAGCATGCAAAACTTATCTGATACCAACTACGGATTACAGGCTTAGAAAAGCTTAACCTAGTTTTTTTTAATGCCAACTATCACATGTTCCTAACAGGTAAAATGTTCAAACATATCTACAGTTGCACTTTTGACCCAATAACGAGGGGTCAATCATTCACGTGAACCATCGAGCCCCAAATGAAACTGACTGCCAAGTTCAAGTTCTAGTTCTATCTCAAATAAATGCCTCTTCATCTGTCTCAATCTCTATTATCTCAATGTTGCTGCTTTGAACCCATCCTGACTGTTATCTATCAGTGTCTGGATAAGAGCATTAAATGTGTATCCTGGTGGCAGCTCTCCCCTGGGAGTCGAGGTGACTCCTACTGACATCTAGTCTGCTGAGAAGACATCATATCCTTTAAGTAACCTCCTTCCCTTGACCAGCACATCACAACACTCAAGTCAGACAGCTTCCTATCCTCCTGGAGGCCCACGGCTCTTTTCTCCAGTGGACAGATTATAAATAAACCTTATTTTCTTACTAAAATAGTTTTGGGGTCCAAATTAGAGCCAATCAGACCCAGTAGAACAAGGTATGCTTTCAGGTAGGCCTTCCTTGTGATTTACACATCATTCTGAGTCAAAGTTCTCTTACTTCCCATGTCTGGTTTCAAAATACTAACACAGCAACAGGCAAAATGCTGTTCACTGAACCAATGGGTGGCATCACAGTCCATTTTTATATACAGTCTATGCTTCTCCCCAGGAAAGACTTTGACAACCTGCCATACTGAAATCAGTGGACCAGGGAAAAAATCTGGAGTGAAAAGAAGCTGAATTATTATGATTAATGGGGAAACAAAGCAAACAAGACGTTGCTGATGCTGTTGTGCTGATCATTATGCCATTAAATTACAAACTGTACCCTTTTTACTGGTAATGATGACAAAAACTGGATGTGCAGTGTACACTTTTCTGGTTTATAAGAGGAGCATGCCAGAAAAAGTGTGAGAACCACTGGCTCAGGCTAATTAAAGTGATCAGGTGTTTTTGTCTGAGTCCTGTCTTAACTTTGGCCTAACTGCCCAGCCTGTCTGCCTGCACTCTGGCTGCCAGAAGGCCAGGAATGAAAGCCTGGCACTTATCCCCCTCTCCTCTATCTGATCCCCTGTTGCTACCCTAGATGCCAACAAAGGTATTTCTGGCCCTAATCAACATGGAGTGGTAGAGAGATATGAATGCATGCGTGTTTTTTTCTTTTCTTTTACATAAAAGCAGAAAGGACTTAGGTAAACACTAGGAAACATTTTCTCAAGATAAAACTGCATTCCCAAGAGCTACTACAATACATTACGTTGGTTTATCAAGCTTTCTTCTCTGTTCATACTTAAATTCATGAGTTGACGTTATGTCACTTATGTTTTTAAAATACGAGGAAAGTCATCCCTTTATTTCTGTCCTTTCTCCAACAATTTTATACAGTAGCACATACGTGGTACATTGTGGGAACAAAAAGATAATTTGGGATATGTTAACATCATCATGTGAAAGCATTGTACCTTGTGTTAACATACCAAGTTGCTAACTTATACCGTACCTTACTCTGTTTTGATGTAATGTCAAATGTGTATAGTTGTAACAGCCATAACGGTTCCTCTGTGTGATATTCTGGCCATTTTATCTCTGACACCCACAAGAAAGGCATAACTATCTGTTTGAAAGGGAAATGGGCAGCAGCAGATAAAACCAAGGGGATATAGGCATGATAGATTAAACAAACAGTGTGTTATTATAAGCTGAAATATGAAATGTGAGAGTTTCATAAACA